CTCATCCAGAAACTTCCCCAAAAGTGATTATCTTTCTTCTACCAGGATCTGTCGGTGACAGAAAATTAACTTTCTCTAAATAGTCTGTTTATTCTGCTCATAAAAAGCTCTAAAGTTTGCCCCAGGTTCTGTTATTTAAGGCTTAACCTTTTATCTAAAGGCTGGTCCTCTATAAATGCACATAATGGAATTTATCCTAAGTGATAGACTCTCAAATGAGAGCAGGGGGGAATCATAGAAAGTTCTTAATTTTAGAAAATGACAACGTGTTAAATCCTGGCTCTGCCCTACCACTCAATTATTATCTACAGAACTTTGAACAAGTTGTCTGATTTCTGAGTCTTGGGTTCCTTAGATGTTTAGAGACTTAAATAGGTTCATGAGTACAAAGCACCTAGCAAGAACATCTGTACTGGAAAGTGCTCAATACGTGTTTGCTGTGTCCCACTATATATGTGGGTACAACTGACAAGATTTTTAAAAATAATATTCTGCCAAAATGAATATGCCAGGTTTGTAAACAGGTGGATGTGCCAATCCAGAATTGAGATTATTTTGGAAACAAAGGCAAACTTGGATTGAGAAACCCAGAAAGGAAGAGAATAGCTACCCAATTCTGCATGTTACAGATTAAGATACAAAGTCAAAGGATGTAAAATCAAAGTTTAAGCTTCACCCACACTTACCACCCTTTAGTTTCTGTGATTAGTTGGTAAAGAGGATTGTATATGAAAAATGTGTCAATGTGTCCAACCTTACCAAGGTCACAGTAAGAGTCCACTCATCCTGAAGAGAGGGAAAGTGGTCTAGAAATAAAACATCCTCATCTCAGCTGCTATACTAAGGGAATATAAATATATATATATATATATATATATATGTGTGTGTGTGTGTGTGTGTGTGTGTGTGTGTATATATTTTTTTTTTGAGAGGGAGTATGCAGGGGGGAGTAAAGAGGGCAGAGGAGGAGGGGGAGAGAGAGAATCTAAGCAGATTTTGAGCTGAGCTGGACATGGGGCTTGATCCCACAACCCCAAGATCAGGACCTGAGCCAAAATCAAGAGTTGGACACTTAACTGAGCCACCCAGGTGCCCTAAGGGTAAATATGTCTTTAAAGATGGTTGCACAACAGCACTTTTATATGGGGGGATAAATTGACTTCTCTCAAATTTCTCCATTATTCTAAACCACACAGGTATATGGTCTCTCTGATGTTTGATGAATGTTGGGACCCCATTGTGGACTGAAAACTGTCAATCCAAACTTAGACAACCAGGGTCATGCTATGGTAGTCTAAAAGTTTTGTGCCATACAGCAAATGGTGCACGTTATGAACCAGAATGCTTTTGAATGTACTGCTAATAGGGTATGAATGCTATGATATGGGCATAGAGAAACACAATTATTGTAGTTAAATTATTACAAGCTTGATTTGTACTCTATATAATGTATGTTTTCTTAAAAAAATAAAAAGTATACTTCACCAGCTAATTAACGGAAGGTAGAATTTTAGACATGTTGCCAATAATTCTCCAAAGGCAAATACCTATTCTAAACAATGTAGATGTCTTTGTTTACCTATTGAAGAAACTACACACATTCCTAAAACTATTTTTCTCACAGAGGAGCACTAATTACATTGATTCAATTGGTTAAAAAAATACACATTATTTACCTGATATTAATGAAGTAACAGTAACAGAAATGATTCCCATCCTTCCTTGGGTATATGTAGTCATTAGTGCTCCATTTAATGGCAAAAAAGCTTTCATCCTCTGGATCAGAATATGGGATGGAAAGTATGAAATAAAAGCCTTTCCCTGACCCCTAAGAATGACCGGTGGGCAGTCACCCCCTTGGGTGACGCAAGTGAAGAGGTTTTGGAGGAGAGAAAATCAGGTGGGAAGTTCAGGTACTTCCCCAAAGACCAGCACAGAGATTTGAGGCAGCAGGAAGCCACCTAACCCCAGGATTCCACAGCTGCTGCTAAGTGCCAGCTTCCTTTTCCTTCCCAGCAATCTCTTCCAAGGCTGAACTCCAAGTCAGGAAATTTTTCTCAGCAAGGTAATGATCTGATCCAAAATAATCAACACTTAGCTGTGACCAGCCAATGGGCTCAATCCTCCCTGGAAGTGTTACAAAATAGTCTAGAGAAATTTCCAGTCGATGAAGTGAAGGCAAGCCTGTGTGCGTGTGCATAAGGGGGTGGTACAGAAGTCACTCGGAGCTCTTCAACTAGCCCCAGGAGCCTCCCCACTGCTTCCCCACATCCCCACCTGAAAGTAAAATTAGCCACATGTACCCGCCACTCCTTTCTCCGGAATAATTCTGTATAGTAATTTCAGGGGTATTATTTTTATAATCTCTGATCCTAATTGGCTCCTTCCACTCTGAAACCAATCCTTACTTGCATCTTTGGATCATCCATGTTCAAATGAGAGAGGCAAAGGTTAGAAAATAACCTACTTTTGGGGCGCCTGGGTGGCTCAGTGGGTTAAAGCCTCTGTCTTCAGCTCAGGTCATGATCCCAGAGTCCTGGGATCGAGCCCCATATCGGGCTCTCTGTTCAGCAGGGAGCCTGCTCCCTCCTCTCTCTCTGTCCGCCTCTCTGCCTATTTGTGATCTGTCAAATAAATAAATAAAATCTTTAAAAAAAAAAAAAAAAAAAAAAAAAAGAAAAAAAAGAAAATAACCTACTTTTGGAATATGTGAAACCAGATCTCATTAGGGAATTAAAATACTATTGAGTTTCAGCTTGTAAATTCCCACAACCAAAAAAATTATAAGCTATGTTGAAGTTATGACTCGTCTTAATGCATTTTCTATTGTACTTGAAACAGAAGTGATTTTAACCAATCTTCTGGGCTTCAGAAGGAGAGTGGGTTAGTAATTCAATGATTTACTAAGTTTCAGACAAGAAAGAGTACCTGACTACATTCCATTTCTATCCATTCTTCAACAATGTCTGACCTGAGTCCTAGATTTATGGTGCTGATGGAAAATTCCAGAAACTAAAAAATATTTAAGTTTTAAAATTACTAGATCTCAGGGGGCACTTGGGTGGCTCAGTTGGTTAAGCGTCTGACCCTTGATTTTAGCTCAGGTCATGATCTGTCACTCTCCCTCTGCCCCTCCCCTTTCTCTCTAATTAAAAAAAAAAATTACTGGACTTTTTTTTTTAATGACGTTTAACCAATACCTTGGAGAAAGTGTTCTTACTAAGACTAGACATAGCAAAAAGAAAAACATGCCAAAATGATCACTGAAACTAGGTTTTTATCACACCTGGAATGAAATTGTGTCTGCAAACACAGCATCTAAAATATTATAGATGTTGTTAATTGTATTTGAGAGGCCAATTCAAAGCACAGTTATGGTGGTTTATGGGGACATTAAAGGGAACCAATGCCTTTGAATATGCTTGCTACTTTAGTGGTTGATAACAGTTTCTTTTAATCAAGGAAGTGTAACATAATGGTCAAAGTATAATAAATTTTAACAGTCTCTACCAGATGCATATTTATTAGTTACAGAGGCTGTGATACTCTTTGGACTTAATTAAATCAGATAGCATAAACCAGTGTTTAAATTATATAGACATTCCTGATACCTATCCACAGAAAGAAAAGAGACACACAGCAACTGAAATAGTTTGGTATGTCAGTTTAAATATTTTGATGAGTTGGACCATTTAAAACTGGCTAAAAGAACTAAATGTTGACTCATTTAATAAGAAAATTCAGTGTGGGGTGGCGGGGGAAAGGAGGGGTGTGACAGTGTCTGATGGCTCATGGTTTTCTTTCTCTTCTCTCCATAGTATCACACAATGTCAGTTTCATCCTCGCGCTGGCTCTAGTCAAGATAGATCTCAGGGTGACCGAGGCCAAGTGCTTCGTCTTCCACATCCAGAGGCCTGCATCTTCCCCAGCATTCCAAGCCAGAATCCTGAGCACGTCCCTGATTGGAACAGCTCATGTTATATGATGAATCCCTAGCTAATCACTGTGGCTAAGGAAATGGTTATGTCAATCAGTTCATACCACATCTCTGGGAATGGAGTCATTTCATGAGAAGGACATAGATCATGTGGAGGATAGGTAGATACTAGGAGGAAAACTGGGGAAATGGACAAATGAACACTGGAGGTTCACTACAAATAATACTGGATGCTACTGAAAGACAACAGCAAACCCAGCGTTGTATTTACTGAAAATGATTATTGGTTTCACTAATAAGAAAATAGTTTCTGGACCACAAACTACCAACAGCAACAACAACAAAATTCCAAGGCCAGTATGTTTATTATTTTGTGTTTGACTTAGATGGTTGAATGACTTCATTTTCAGTTATAAGCATTACATTAATTCCCATGCAAAAACCCAAGACCGCATATGCCGGATTTCAATTGGCCAAAATCCAACCTGTGAGTCTGGACATTCGAGATCAAATCCAAAATGTTGCTTCACCTTTCCAATAGTAGATATCATGGTCATCCTTTGAGACATCAGCAGGGCCCCTGACCTCTCAAACACCACAGTTTGCCATGAGTCCATACCAGAACAAGGAGCCAATGCCTTGCGGCACCTAAACATGGCAAACGACTTCATTCATGAAGATAAGACACCTCCACATGAAGCTGCCACCCACAGATATGTCCTCGTTCCTGCTCTGTAGAAACACCTGCTTTTGAATAGGCATGCTATCTTCTGTTGGAGATTATAAATTCTTTCTGCCAGTTTTCCCCACAACTCCCAGTAGAAGCAAAGAGACTTTACAAAGAAAGCTTACCTCTATAACCCCCAAAGCAGTACATACAAAGACAACTACTCTATCAAGTATATATTTTCTCCAGCTTCAGATGGTCATTTAGCAGGTGTAAAGCTTTGCAAACCTCTCTCAGTGAGATAGGAACCAGGAATATCAAAGAGGGCAAAACAGGACCCCACAATTAAAGGAGAATGAAACAAATGCAAAGAATCATTCTATTGATTGAGAAAAATGGGCTAAATTAAAAAAAAATGATAGCATTTCAACAGTGGATGTCAATTTATATTGAAACACATACATCGGAAACTCTGACAATGGCCAAGATTTCATTAGTGCAAATAACAATTATAATGGTATGTTCTTTAATAGGATTTAAATAAGGCTTCAAATAATTACACACACTAAAACTACCATTTGGAAACCTTAATTCTGTTTGGAAAGTTGTCAAACACAGCCTCCAAACCATCCAAAGTTCTGATCTGAGGAAAATTACATTCAATGAAGTTGCTCCAAAACACAACTGGTAGCATTATCACTTCCAAAGTCTACGTTGTTTGGTGGAAAGAGGGAAACTACCTCTGGTCACTGGTCAAAAGAAATAAATCCAGCTAACATACCGTAGTTTCCAGGTTCAGATGATTCTCAAATATCTGTAGTGATGAAAGCTCATTGAAAAAAATTAAAATTAAAAAAAAAAAAGACAAAAAAAAAAACAACAGCATCCTGAAGCATCAGAAAGATATCTGTTGCCCTACCCTCATTAACAAATTTACACAAAGCATGAAACAGTAAAAAACAAGAGAATTCATGGGCATTTCATCTATGGCTCAAGTTCTCCTTAAAACAAACAAACAAACAAAAAACCCCAAAACAAACCCAAACCAAAAACAATGTGACAATAACTACAAAGAGTAAACAACCAAATCAGAGGCAGAGTATGAAATAGTAATATACTGTTTCAGAGCCTGCACCGTCCTGCAGAACCAGGAAACTTAAAACGTGTTCTTAACAGATCCAATCTAGGCTGGATATGTAAAAAACGGCAAGTCAGCATCACAAACCACACTACACATTATGAGAGTTTTAGAACCTGGGAAAAGAAAAGAAAAGAAAAAAGGCAGCAGAATGCTCAGAAAAATTTATCATCGATTCTGAAATGGGGCCTCGTGACATCATCAGGGTTAATAAAGACAGAGATGGACTTCCCCGGGTTCTCAGTCACCAGCTGCTGCAGTTTTTTGGCCAAACGGTCATCGGGCTGATTGGGGTCCCCACCGTCGGACTGCGGGGAGGGGATGCTGGTGGTGCTCCCCCGCCTCTGCAGCTCCAGCGTCAGCCGGTTGGCCGCCTTGACGTGCTCGATGGCGGTGCGCAGGTGCTCGGCCGGGTCTGAGCGCACGGAGGAGAGCTTCCGCGCGTGGAGCATGACGGTCTCCTCCGACAGGTGCTCTAGCATGTTGCACTGAGGGATGAAATAATTGGGGCACATCTTGTTGACCAGACAGTGTTGTAGGTCATCAATGAGGCCCAGCAAAAAGTGGGCTGCATAGTCTTCTTGGGCCAAGTAGCTAGCAGGAAGTCTGTCACAGGCCCAGAGCATCATGCTCCGCAGGTGATACGGGCTGATCGCCTTGGGCCGGGACAGGAGTTTAATGATGATGGCTTTGCAGGCCTGGTAGGCCTGCATGAGGCTACCAGAGATGCATTTCTTCAGCTGTACCTCGCTCCTGGCGAAGGACAGCCGCCACTCATTGTCCTTCTTGCCCTTGTAGGAGCAAGCAGGCACCAAGTAAAACCCACTGATGACCTCTTCCTCGGTGATCTTCCCATCCCAAAAGTGGTTCTCCATGAGCCAGCTCTGGGCCACTGCGGGCCAGCCTTTGAAAGAGACCACGGGGACAATATCATACAACATGCGACTGCTCCCCACGCCCAGGATGATGGAGATGATGGTCCCGTTCTTTTCTACCTTTTCCACCTTGGGCATCCCTCGCTGGGGTTTCTTCTGGATCTCTGACAGGACAATGCTGATGGAGTCATAGAACCAGTCGGCCACTTTGGTTGGGGAGAAGAAGTAATTGGTGGCACCATTGATGTGATCCACGATGGTGCAGCAGTCTTTCCACTTACTGATTGTCCCCTCATCAAAGAGCCGGAGGCTCAGCCAAGAGTGGCACAAGGCTGAGTGGCGCATATCGAGTGTCACAGGCTGATTACGGTCATGTAGCTTAAGGGCTGGCACCAGAAGAGTGAAGTCCATATCATAGTCTGTCCCTCGGGCATACACGTTAAGCTCATCTAAGTCCAGGTCCACCACGCCTTCCCGGACTCCCCCAGAGAGCAACAGGTACTCATTGGCCACTGGAAGTTTTTGGTCCAGCTTTTGCACCATTCCTAGAAACAGAAAAAGAAAACACTATTAGAGGAAGCACAGACACCAGAGTCCTTTGCATCGGCACAGAACATGCTGAGTTTCTAAGACCCACTGTTTGTTAGAAGTACAAAACCAGATCTTGGCCTGTTGCACAGGTCCAGGCAGCAGCATACTTTGTTCTTGCTCGTCGGTGACAGAACGCGTCCTTTACCAAGTGGGAGAATTACAATCCATTTTCCTCTTGTGGCAAGAGCAGTATCTTTTTTTATTTTTAATTTTTTATTTTTTTAAGGATTTTATTTATTTATTTGACAGACAGAGACCACAAGTAGGCAGAGAGGCAGGCAGAGAGAGAGGAAGGGGAGCAGGCTCCCTGCTGAGCAGAGAGCCCCATGCAGGGCTCGATCCCAGGACCCTGAGATCATGACCCAAGCCAAAGGCAGAGGCTTTAACGCACTGAGCCACCCAGGTGCCCCAGCAGTATCTTTTTAAATCATAAACTGGGGCTCTTCTTCCCCCAGTCATCATCTTGGTTAGTGGCATTGCCATCCACTAGGTCACTCAGGCTGAACACCTCAGTAAGCTTTGAGTCTTTGTTGGCTTCTACTGCCAGATTTCATCTGTATAACCCCTGTGACATTTCTCATTCCTTCCCTGTTCTCCATCTCTGCTGCCCTCATATAAAGCCAGGCTCTTCTATCTCTCGCCCATGCAGCCTCCCACCCTTAGGTTCTTCCTGCTTAAACCTTCCTCTATCCCAGGGATTCTCAGTGTAGGCTATGGACACTCAATGTGAGACACTGCGAGGGGGTAGTGAGGTCACAACTCTCCCCATAATAATGCTAACACATATGCCTTGTTTACTGTCTTGACACTTGAACTGACTCTTGATGGCATGAAAGCAAATGGCGGGTCACAGTGCTAGGCGTTCGTGAAGACAGTGGCACCAAACCACAATGGCAATCACTGGACTCTTTACTGCTGACATGTACCAGCATTTAAAAAAAAAAAAAAAGTTCAGCCGCACTGAAGAAAAATCCCTCATGGAAAAGAAAAATGGGTTAATTTTTCTTAAATCCCAACTCTAGAGCTACCTTTCTAACGTTAGGTGCAACAAAATGGCAAGTGACCATAGAGCACTTCTGCCTCATACTGAAATACAAGAGCTGTCTTCAAGAAAAGTGCCTGTGTTGGAGCTGTGGGCTAAGTTAGTGGCTCTGTTCATGGAAGACCATTTTTACTTTAAAGAACAACCGATCAACTATGGGCATCCAGACTTGGGTATCTGGTAGACATTTTCATTAAAAAATGAACAAAGTTAGCCTGTCTTTGCAAAAACAACTAAAATATTTATTGCCAATGGGGGAAAAAAACAAAACAAAACTGGAGATAAAAAAAAGCTGAATTTTAAGAAAACTCCTCTCTTGCACCAGGAGCTTAATATCTTCCCAAATGGTCTAGTTTTCTGGCAAGATTGGTGGTGACATAAAAAATGTAATTTTGGGATGTTAATGTGAGCTCTTTAAGAGTGCAGACCATGTCTCAAATCTGTAGTAGGCATGCACTGGGCTCAGCAACCAGTAGCATACAGCCGGAGCTGTGACTGGGTGGCAAAGGAAGAAACGGATGGAATTGATGGGACTTCCCCATTAAGAGCTGAAATAATTAGACTAAATGTATATGTAATTTGATGTACAAATGTCCCCTCCCTGCCAGCTCTCTCTGAGACTGAATTTACTCTTTTCTCCAAAGATTGCAAAGAACTATCACAAACTAAAATTCCCTTATTCACTGCAATTACTTTTAATCAACATAGTTTATTATTCATAGGACAACTCCAGTGCAAATCAATAAGCCTTGTATGTGTGTTTGTGCTACCATTTTATTTCAGAATTTAATACTCAAATGAAATAAAAATGTGCTCTTTTCATTCTTTCAAATCCTGTTTTCCAAACCATATGAACCATGAAAAACTCATACTTAGTACCATTTCCTTACATATAGATAGACAGACAGACAGCAAGCTTTCACTTTTGTCTTAAAGCAATCAAAAAGTTATCCAACTTTAAAGAATCCACAACTAGGTTGCCTGGGTTAAGCCTGGGTTAAGCTTCTGCCTTCGGCTCAGGTCACTGTCTCAGGGTCCTGGGCTTGAGTCCCACATCAGGCACTCTGCTCAGCAGGGAGCCTGCTTCCCTCTCTGGTTCTACCTGCCTCTCTGCCTACTTGTGATCTCTCTCTGTCAAATAAATAAATAAAATCTTAAAAAAAAAAAAAAAAGAGTCCACAACTAGTCAGAAAGAGAATCCAGTGTACTGGACTTTTGAGGCTGTTTCTCACACGCCTTGCGCTGTGCCACCCAGATCCCTTTCCAGTAAAGGACTTCCTGTTTCAGCTGCTGGGAATCTGTCAGTGTAATCCCTTAAGGACTAGCTGCAAAGAGCCAGCTCAACCAAAGTGATGTCCTGTGTTTGGGGTGAGGGTAGGGGGTACACATCAACGTGAGAATACAATGTTTAGGATACTCTGAAGAATTATTCAAATCCAGAGTTCCCAGGGGGATTGTGGCCGCAAAGAAACTGGACTTCTCCCTCTGCCTGATCCTGCTTTGGGTCCCTACTTTCTACCACAGTGGCTGATCCTAGAGGGGCTTCTTAATAAATATCCTAGGGGCACTTGGGTGGCTCAGTCGGTTGAGTGCCCGACTCTTGATTTCGGCTCAGGTCATGATCTCATGGGTTGTAGGTTGGAGCCCGGAGTCTGAGATTCTCTTTCCTTCTCTCTCTGCCCCTCCCCACCACCAACTCGCACATGCTCTCTCTCTCTCTCTCTCTCTCTCTCTCTCTCAAATAAATAAATAAATAAATCTTCTAAAATAAATAAATAAATATCTTAACTCCATTCGAAGGCTGCTTCTTGAGGAACCCAATCTAAGACACTACATTCTAACCAAGCAAAAACAGCCTTCGCTGTCAGTATGAAAAATTTATCTTCCTTTTAAAAGCGGTTTTCAAAAACCAAATTTAGTAACCAAGGATTGAAAGTTATGGTAAACACCAAACCCAAGATTCATTTCTCAACTGTCATGTTTCAGTATTCACCTCATCTTTATGATGTAACAAAACTTACCACTCAGAGTTTTAGCTATAGCTATGAACAGATAAGATTTGTTTCTCAGAATCCAGGGTAGGTTGGGAAAATCATTTTCACTATATTTGAAGTTCACAGGCAGGTAGTTACTTTCAAAGATAAACATTTGATAATGAAATAATTTATTCATCATTCATTCAAATATGTTTAAATTCTAGCACTTGGTGCCATAAATACACATAGGAACCATGTTGAAATGTGTTATGATTAATAAGTAAGAGCTGAATAAATTAGAAGTGGTATTATAGTTTGGATATCAAACCACTGTTCCCTCTTAGGTATCCATGATTCAAAACTCTGTACATTCTATTTTGTCCTAGACAGGATCAAACTGGTTCTGAGCATACTAGCAAGGACTTGTCTAGACAACCAGAATAAGTTGTGCATTAACAGGCTGGGTAGAATTTGTTTACAAACATGCTGCTGAATTTTGCCTTGGACTGTCAATTTTGGTTTGAATAGTCATAGGTAAGAAAAGCTAAAACTCCCTTCTGCCCTCTACTGGATTAAAGAAGTTTTAACATGTTTTTCACTCCTTAGCATATACACTAGAACACTCCTGCTGGTAATAAAATATTCTTTTTCCTCCCAGATGTGGCTTTTGCACCTAGTTAAAATGTCGTCCCTCCTTTCGGAAGTCATGAAAGTATGTGGCTAAACTCCGTTATCAGGAGTTCGGTTAATTTTGGACACCTACTCCTTTAAAGGACAGAAAGAAGTTTCGCAGCAAAGAAAATATTACTGAGGCTCTTTGCTAAGCTCCTAAAAGGTAGAAAGAAAGTCCCCAAGGCCACGTATTTCTGGAAGCTGATCTCCTGTGACACCCACATTTACATTTAGGCCGCTGAAGCCCATTAGTCTGCAGTTTCACCAATGATTTGGTAACACAAACCAGAGCCTGCCCAGCATTCTACTCAAATGCCCTTCTTGAAAAACTTTTCTGGGCTAAGTTTAAATGAAAATGAGCTGACATCAGCTATCATGGCAGATGGGTTGCCACGCAACTAAAACACAGCCACGGGCTGGAGGGAAAAGGCAGAGGAGAGAAAAAAATTCAACCGTATACTCCGAACACAGGCACCAGTTCCAACAAGTGCCTTCTCAGAACAGATCCAAGGATTTCTGTGTAATTACAGGAGGGTGAGATCAAGTGACTGGCTGTTTAGCTATTAGCAATTTATCCAAAACCATGAGTGAGAACAAAAGGAAGAATCACATATAACAATGACCTTGTTAGCCTGAGAAATGGTTTCTTGCCCTGGTGGGTCTTTTTCATGGAAGCAAGGGCATATGTTTGCTCTTAAAAACACAAAACTGCCTCCCAGTCTCCCATCCTGTAATGGATTCTTTGATTTTGCTTTATTTAGTAGTTTCTACTTAAGAAGACTTTAATATTACTGGTGAAACCAGTAACTAATGAGTTAACAGGGCATATAAAGCCAGGCGGCAACTCTTTTACCCAAATCTGCTTGTTCTCAGGAATGCTGTCTGCCAACACGTTTCTGTAGCCTAATATTCTTGCCTGACACTGAGATAACCAAGTGTTAGTTTCGTTGTTTTGCAGAGACCTAAGATTTCATCAAAAAGCCAACCAGGGGCGCCTGGGTGGCTCAGTGGGTTAAGCACTGCCTTCGGCTCAGGTCACGAGATGGAGTCCCGCATCGGGCTCTCTGCTCAGCAGGGAGCCTGCTTCCCTCTCTCTCTCTGCCTGCCTCTCTGTCTACTTGTGATCTCTGTCAAATAAATAAATAAAATAAATAAATAAATAAATAAAAATCTTAAAAAAAATAAATAAATAAAAATCTTAAAAAAAAAAAAAAAAAAGCCAACCAGACCAGTCAGGACCCCTGGCCTCCTCTTTCAGTGCAAA